AGCAATTTCTGATTTTGTTTCAGATCTTCAGCATCCATAGGTTCTGTATTTTTTTTAAACTGACTGGCATATTTGTATCCCGAGATCTCTTTGTTCCTTGATTCTAGCTAGTCTGGTATGTTCTAAATAATAAGCTACATCCCCACTATTCCTACAAATATATACTACTTCAGACTGATCTATTTTGAACTTCATTTGCCAACTATTTTCTCATTCTACTAGTTAATCAATGTCTTCCTCTAACTTATTGCAGTCCTCCTCAATATTGACTACGTGCCTCAGTTAGTGTCATTTGTAAATTTAGAAGTGATATTTTTAATTCAATATCCAAATCCTCATTATAAATAATGAACAACAGTGGTCCAAGCGTTGATTCTTGAGGAGCACCACTTCTTACCTTTATTCACCCTGAATACCTGCCATGTATTCCCAGTCTGCTTTCTGATTTGAAGTGAACTAGGCATGCCATTTCCTCTGACTCCATGTTCTTTGATCACATTCATTAGTCCATTGTGGGGCATCTTACTGAAGCACTTTTGAAAACCCTAGATAACTTAAGACTACTGCATTATAATTGGCTTATCTCGCTGTTAAATCCTCAATAATGTTAATCAAGCATTAATTTCCCTTTCAAAATTCATGTTGAATTTGTTGAAATGCTCTCATTTCTAGATGGTATTCTATTCACTCCATTAGTAAAGACTCCAATATGTTCACACCACTGATGTGAAGCTAACTGACCTATGATTCCCTGGATATATTCTGTCTCATTCGTAAGTATAGGAATTACACAGTTGTCTGCCAGTCATTTGGCAGTCCATTTTTTTTAATGAATTATTAAACATGAGTAGCAATGTCCCTGTTATCTCTCTCAAAATATACAGATTCAATTTATCTGTACCAGGGGCTTCATCCTTTGTAAGTTTGTTGAGTATATTCAATAGATCCACTTATTAAAATTTTAAACAAATTGATGTAATGTCTCTGGTTAAAAAACAAATTAAGCTAATGATTTAACACTTCTGTTATCTCTTTATCATTAATTGTGGTATATATTAACGGGTGGCACAGTGGCTCAGTGGTTAGCACTGCTGCCTCACAGAGCCAGGAACCTTGGCTCAATTCCACCCTCAGGCAACTGTCTGTGTGGAGTTTGCACATTCTCTCAGGGTCTGCATAGGTTTCCTCCAGGTGCTCCGGTTTCCTAATGTTCAAAGATGAGCAGGCTAGGTGGACTAGCCATGTTAAAAATTGCCAATAGTGTTTAGATTAGGTGAGTTATAGGGGATGGGTCTGGGTAGGATGCAGTGAGGATTGGTGTGGACTTGTTGGGCTGAACGACCTGCTCTCCCACACTGTGCAGATTCTATGATCTATGATTCTGTGATCCTATCCATTCCTTAATGGTCCCTTTCCATCACAGCCTTCACTTTTTTTCATTTGATGTGCCTGCAAAATATTTAATTATTTTGTTTTGTGTTCCTCTTCGCTTTCTTAATCATTTATTTGACTTCTTCCCTGCTATCTTGGTATTAACTCTTATCATGCACTTCTCCACTGTGTATGAGCATTGAATTGTACAAGGCAGTCATGTTTCAAAATGTCTCCTTTAGTTTAAGGACAAACAGAATGTCCTGAATGCGGGATGGTGGTCACACGAAACCTCTGCCTGTCGGAAGGCCGATGACATCTGGTTGTCATGGGGAAACAAACCCAAATCAAAATCCACTGAAAATCAAATAACAGATTTCATATCCTGACACAGACAGCAGAATTGCTGCTTTTTGGAAACATAAACATAGTCTGAGAGAGTGAGGCACAAGCACAAAGGAATTCCTGCTGTGTGAAGAAGCAGTAGCCACTGCTATGAAGAGCAGTGTGAACTGTTTTTACGTTAACAGTTAAAAAGAACATTAAGGAACAAAGGCTAAGTGTGAGAGCAAGATCATGGCAGTGGAATATAATGTAACAAAAATTTGAAGGTGTCTGCTGTAGTTGGAATAAATGTGAAAGCAGAGTATTTCTTAACTGGTGGCAGATCGGGAAGCGGTGATGGCTAAAATGATTTGGGTGTCCTTGCTAATGAGTTATAGAGTCATATACCACGGAAACAGATCCCTCGGTCCAACCTGTCTATGCTGACCAAATTTCCCAAATTGAACTAGTCCCACTTGACTATATTTGGCCCATATCCCTCTAAACCCTTCCTATTTATGTACCTGTCCAAATATCTTGTAAATGTTGTAACTGTACCTGCATCTAACACTTCCTCTGGCAGCTCATTCTATAGACGTGTCACCTCTGTGTGAAGAAGTTGCCAATCAGGGTCCCCTTTTGAATCTTTCTCCTCTCACCTTAAAAACCCCTAATTTTGAGGTCCCTCAACCTAGAGAAAAAACCCTTGGCTATTCGCCATATCTATGCCCCGCATGATTGTATAAACCTCTATAAGGTCACCCCTCGATCTCCTGTGCCCCACTGAAATAAGATATGCCTCACATTGAGTCTGGTTAGACAATACATCCCTCGGCATTCTCAGCTGAAAAGAACACTTTGCGCTGATTACTGGGTCCCCCTACTGCCTAAACAGAATTTACCAGTTTCAAAATCTGCCCACCCTGTCGGCCTCATCCCATGTCCACTCCTCTCTTTCATCCCCGCCTCCTTGGCCTGACACTGCCTGTCCATCTTCTTCCCTACCTATCCGCCCCACCCTTCCCACTGACCAATTCCCACTACTCCTACCTGTATCCACCTATTGCCATCCCACCTACCTTTCCCCAGCCCCACCTCACTTCCCTCTCCCTCGTTCTAGGCCTAAAACGTTGACTTTCCTGCTCCTCTGATGCTGCATGACCTGCTGTGTTCCTCCAGCTCCACACTTATTGTCCCCCTACTGCTACATTTCTATTCTGCTCTTTCCACTGACTCCTTTCCTTGACTGCCTTGTGGGCCACTGAGCCTGCTCTGCGTTGTGGCTGTCCTCAATGTGGTCTTTCCCGTTCTCCTCACAAACAGTAAGTACATGATATCTGTTGGACAAGACCAATGTCTGTGGGACCTCTTCTATACTTCTCCCAAGTTGCTGCTACCCAGCTCCCCATTAGTCGCACTTTCCCTTTCACAGCTGACCATTAAAATCATCTTCAGTAGCTTTGGTAAGTATGATTCTATTGGCTACAGACTGTAAGACCTCTTTATAACTGACAGACCTCTCATGAAGTCAGAAAAAGAAAATCAAAAGATCTCATAGCCAGGTGAATTATGAAGACAGAAGCATTGCATAGGGTTAAAAAAAGGAAAGAAATAAATTAGTAACAGTTCACCATGCTGAAGCTCGTGATTTTTTTTTCTCTCAATTTTTTGCAGCCTTGTATGTCAGCTAACGAAATTCCACAGAAGAGAAAACCAGCACCTTACTGCTGGATGTCACTAGAACTCATCTCTTTTAAGAGATCAGCACCTGTTTCTTTTCTTTCCCCTATTGCTTTAAAAACGCACATATATACATTGATTCACTCATTTTATATTCTGCTTATAGATGTGGCTTCATTCCAAGTTAGGCTCAAGATCTGCTGTTTACATAGGCTGATTTTTCATTCCCTACCTAGACAGCTCTCAAAAACACATTTCCTGGTGTCTCCGTGGAAGCCATAATTAAAGTAATTTTTCTGCATTCTGGCTGTATGTGGCATCCAAATTTTTTTAGGGTTTGGGTTGTAAAATCAGTATTAAGAATTTTACAACTGGACAGGTACCTTTCACTTCCATTTTTTCTACTAAATAACGAGGAGCATTTTGGAAGTTAATTTCCCCTTTCTGCTCATCACAGAAACTTTTTTCATTATTCTCATCATAGGATCCCTAGTGTGAGAGGCCATTCGGCCCATCAAGTCTGCACTGACAGTCTGAAGAGTATCCAGCTCTATCTTCATAAACCAACATTTCCCATGGCTAATCCATTTAGCCTGCACACTCCTGGACACTATGGGCAATTTAGCATGACCAATCCACCCTACCCTCACATCTTTGGACTGTGAGGGGAAACTGGAGCACTTGGAGGAAACCTACGCAGACACAAGGAGAATGTACAAATTCCACAGTCACCCAAGGCTGGAATCAAACCCTGGCACTGTGAGCCAGCAGCACTAACCAACGTGCCACCTTGCTGCTCATAGCATCTTGGCATACCCCTTGTCATCCAGATATTCAATTTTCGTGCCACCAAACTGTTTGGCTAATAACTAGTGAACCATGTTTTCTGGTACTCCTAACTCACAGGTTGACATTTTACAGCCCCCTGCTGGCAGATCTGAGTGCAATGGGAGGGGCCGGCTCCTAAAATGCAGTGAACAACTGGTCCTCCACTTGGATGGATTCTGTGGGGAGTGATAGGCAGAATTCCTATCTCCAGCCAATCCAGAATTCACCAAGGTAACCAACTCCAGGAAAAAGAAAAAGGTACATGTTCACCAGAGAAGCAATTGGGGCAATGTGCTGACAAGACATGAGGAGAAGAGGTGGAGGGTGAGTTGATTTGCTGGAGTCTGGCATGAGGCGTGTCGAAGGTAGAAGGCCAACAAAACCTGTGGAGCAGGTGGGGAAGTGGTGGAGCAGACGTGTGCTTCTGGGGTCGAAGCAGCAATGTGCTTTAGTCGTCAGTTTACACCCCTTCTCCACTTTTCAGGTCTGCCCAAGCCACTCTTTCTATTTTCAGACGCTCCTCCCCACACTCAGGCTTGTTCAGACCCTTCTTCTCCACTCCACCTCAGGCCTTTGGGAAAGCTCATCCAGAAAGAGTTGGATCCCAGAAAATCCCTGTCCATAGAGTGACCACACAGTATGTGCATACAGAGCCATTGAATATAATATGCAATATTTATCAATCAACAATACAGGAAAGGTAAATAGGTAGAATATTAGGCACATAATTTATTAAAAGCAAGATTTTTGCTAATTAACTTCTTCTCAACCATTTATTGCAATTATTAAATACTTACAGGCTGCAGTAAATAGGCCAGGGATGTCTCCTGAATGATGATAACTGGTAGTTTAGTTAACTTCGTGGCATGAAAGAGTGTCTCCACACTGGCCATGATTTGGTCTAAACGCCCGCCAAGTCCACCAAGCACGACAACATTGTCAACCTAGCACCAAAATGATGGTACTTCCATTAATATTACAACATTCTCTTCTCCTTTTCATCTTAACTACATAAAGAGCCAACTCTAATTTATATAACAGTCAAGAGTTTAATTTCTGACATCAGAGTCAATAGCATATTGTTCTGAATGCTAGAAGCAATTAGATTCAAATCAGAGGTTCCTTTTCATTTCAAAAGGGACTCTAGCTCAGTGTGGAGGCCTTGACTGATTGATGTAATTCTATGGTTTAACATTTTAAATGTATCATAGTAACGATAATTATTCCTTTCAAATAAATCAGTCTGCAGGTTTCTGATGCTTTGAACTAAGTAATGTGCTTTCTTTTATATGAAGAAATTGTCATGTCTCAGCAGAAATTCATGAATCTCTAATGCAATATACATAGTAAAATTCAAACTGACTAGCCATGTAAATATATCAATAATGATCTGTTTATCAAACTGTCCATCCTTCATAAAATACGTTCTGGTTCTGAAATATAGGACAAATTGGCCTGTGCAGCTAGGAGAGAATTTTTCCAAAGAATTTTTCCCCTTATTAACACTGGAATATTTTCTTTTTTTTTTGCCTCCTCAGGGGATGCATACAGGACGGAATGTGAAGGGGGAGATAAAGTGAAAATATGTAATCATGATGCTCCAAATAACATTTGCAAGGCAGGCAGCTGGTGATTTCCTTCTCAGCATTTTCAAGTTTTATTTTTCCATGAACTGCACCATCTCTTCAGAATAAATCACATTCACAATATTTCTATTTTCCGCAGGCGTACAAGTTTTTCCAGTTAATTCCTATCACAATGTCTATAACTTCTTTTCAATATTTTATTGTGGATTATTGAGATCTACATGGTACTACAGTCAATAATCATAAAATGTCAATGCTATGACTAACATTTTTCAAGTATCAGTCTAGCAATGACATTGACAAAGCTCGTTAGGAATGTGAGATGCAGGGAGGATACAAAGAGGCTGCAAAAAGGATGCAGACAGGTTAAGGGAGTGGGCAACCAGGTAATAGCTTATGCTGGGAATTGTGAAGTTATTTGCATTGGTAATAACAAGAGAAGTGAAGAATATTTCTAAAAGGGTATGAAACTTTTAAATGTTGATGTTAAGAGAGGATGTACTCTCAGAAGAAACATGGAAAGTTAGCATGTATGTATAATAAGCATTAGGAAGGCAAAGGGCATGCTGGTCTTTATGACAAAGAGATTTTAGTATGAGAATGAGGAAATCTTCTTACAATTGTGTAGTAGTTCTGTTCGTATTTTTGATCTCCGTATCTAAGGAAGGATATTCTTGCCTTGCAGGTGGTGCAGCGAAGATTCACTAAGTTCATGCCTAGAATGAGAGTGTTGGCCTAGGATGAGAAGCTGATTAAATCAAGCCAATACTCCCTGAAGTTTAGAAGAATGAGAGGCAATCACTTTGAAACAAACAAGATTCTCAAGGGTCTTGACAGGGAAGAAACTTACAAGTTACTTCTCCTGGTTGGGTTAACTAGAACAAGAGGGCATTGTCTTAGCATAAGGATCCATCATGTAGGACTGAGATTGTGAAGGAACTTCTTTCCTCAGGGTTGTGAATCTTTGGAATTATCTATCCGAGAGAGTTATGGATGCTCTATTGTTGAGTATATTCAACGTTCAAATAGATAAACTTCTGGTTTCTCAGTGGGTTCTGGAAGAAAGAGATTGGATGGGAAAGTGGAGTAGAGGCAGAAGATCAGCCATGGATGACGGAGTATCCTCAAAGGGCTAATTCTTCCACTCTTAGGACCTACAGTCCCTATTACATAGAGGAGCACTTTGAAGTTAAAGATTTGATTCTCAAAAATGGGGCACAGGAAAACCGAGAAGTGCACAGTACTTTGTTCAAAATTGCATCGTAGTTCAATTTTCCAGCTCATCTTTGCTTATGTAAGAATCACTAACATTCTAAAGAGAAAAGTAAGGGCAATAGAACTTGAGCCCATACAATGAGTAAATGCACGTACTCCCGTCACTCAGCCAATGTTCAGTGTCAATGCCTGAGTACACTGCAACACAGCACCATTCAGCTCTATCATACCAAGTGAACAGTTAGCAGTACAAGCTGAAACACATTTATTAAACACTTCAATTTTTCTGAAATCAGTGGAGCTTTAAAAATGCTAAGTGGAGAAGATTACATAATTAAGAAAATCACACTTTAGTGAGGTGCAGAAAAGCTTACTGAAATGCCCAAAATAGACAAAGTGCTTAATACGTTGTAAGTGGCACTTTTATAATTAATGTATATGGTAATGAAAAATACTCAGTAAAGATAGATGCCCACTGTGACCGTGGACAGTGTGGGGGCTATATCAGAGGGTTCTGAGAATAAAAGGTATTATGAATTACAGGAATGAACTTAATCCTGCATATACCAGTAAAACTAAGGAGATCCATACATAAAATCTTCAAAATGCCTCTATAAACAGATAAGAAACAAAATACTTTATTTTCTTTTACTATTGGCTCAATCAATCAATTTAACATGGACAGTGAATTTAGAAATTAGGAACAAGTACCAGATTTTAAAAGGTCACATAAGACGAGAAGGAATTCCCCAATCTCTACCGTAGAGATGTACTCAAATAGAT